AACTTTAATTCCTAAAGGTTTGCTTTTTATGTTTCGATGTTGAATTCACTTTTTTGATGGCAAATTTGGGTGTACTGTTTTTTTTTATGTTGTGGGTGCGGCTTACAGTCCGGTGCGGCTTATAGTCCGAAAAATACGGTAAACATTTTCAGATCTGAACTGGGCCTAAATCTGAGTTCATCCTTCCAGGAGTCAGAATCAGCACCGTTTTGACCTTCTGCTCTTACCATCGATGTGTTTGTTCCTCCTCCACATCAGCAGCGTTCCCAGCAGCAGCAGCAGCAGGCTGACGCAGACGCAGCCCACGATGAGGCCTGTATAGTCCTGCTCCTGAGCCAGCGTCACCTTGCCCAGATGCCTGATGGAGTCTGCCTGGCGCCACTGAACAATAGGAAGGGATTTGGTGCGTGGGAGAGAAAAGGCAGCGTATGTTAGAAACTATCACTTCATTGTGCACTTAATTACTGCCCTCCTCTGCACACTGTGTAGTTTAAGATCCATAACTCTGTTGAACCTGACACGAGTGTTGCAGAGCATCAACAGTAACCTGGATGTTTTCTGCAAGACATCAGCAGATCAGAACTTGCTGTCTGCCTGATGAAAGGCCTGAAGCAGCAGTGTTACTGCCCTGACAACAAGTGCATTATGGGCCACCGAAGACAGGGCTGAAAGTGTTCCCTCTGATATGTAGTCACACCTGCAGGTGTACACTCTTACGTCACTATTAGAGTGCCTGAAATGTAAACCAGTGGGTGTTTACACTGCAGGATCGAGGCACATGTTAACAGGGACTTAATGATTCTCTTACAGTTTAAAGTAAATAATTACAACCGATCACAAAGTATAAAATAGATTCAGGATGGTGAGTTTGGTGGTGATCGGACTTTAAATCTTTAAAACAAAGCCAAAAGTAGTTCTTGCAAATTTTGCGCTGGAGAAAAAAAAAGTGTAGGCGGAAATGGGTGTGGCCTATACCATGTGACTCAGTGGTGTCCAGGGATTATGCTGCTATAAGCCAAATATTTTTGTCACTTATGGTTTAGAAGCCAGAAGACCAAATGCAAAGACATCAAGGAGGTCCTATAGAACAGCTGGAGTGCGCAAAAACCACCTGACCATGTGATCGGCTGGGGAAGCTAACGGCTAACGCTAAAC